TCACATGATCTATTATAGAATTGTCAATATGATATATATACTCGAAACCCAACATAAATCAATTCTTCAAATATCTACTCATTTTTCTCATTACTCTACCAATTCTAGTCTCTGCCAACAACCTATTCCAACTCTTCATCGAATTAGGATATGGGTAGGTATTGTTAGTCCAAGCTGCGCCATTTTGTAGATTGAAACATTCCATAGTGGGTCAGGTCATGAGAACCATCCTGCCTAACCACCTCACCACAAGGCATAGGAGCATCCTTCTCATATCCTGCTGGGCAAAGGCCCAACTGAGGGAACATCCTTATCAACATCCTACTGGACAGCAAACCATACCGCAAAGACCACCAACCCCGAACCTGTAAGTTACCCAAGCCTGTAAGCAGCAATGGGCTCTGGCATTAAGCTGGTCCCCCACCTCCGCAGATAGTGCTGGCAATAAACCTGTGTTGCAGTAGAGCCACAAACTCTCTCTCTCTGTCTTTATTTAACCTTTACCTTCTTTTCAAAACCTAACAGGTATTATGTCCTTCCTGCTAATTGACTGATGTTGTGGTGGAACAGACACTATCACAGCAATACTTGCAGCAATCTGATATGATCACATCAGAGGCATCAGTTTTATCCTAGCAATAGCATGATTTGATTTCTCTTGTTCTCCAATACATGAGAATTTCTGCAAATGTTTATTCTTAAGCCTAGCCCCAGTACTCTCCCACGAATTGGTTTTCTGGTAGCAGCAGCTAGCACATCAGCTCAATTTGGTCTCCGCCCCTAACTCCTATCAAGCACAGAAGCCCCGAATCCCATCTCAGCCCTACTTCACTCTAGCACAATGGTTGTAGCAGGCATTTTCCTACTGGTCCAATTTTATTCCCTAATGGAGAATAACATGCCTATTCAAACGCTCACATTATGCTTAGGAGCTATTACTACACTATTTACAGCAATCTGCGCTCTAATCCAAAATGACATTTAAAAGACATACATGAGGCCAACAATCATATGAAAAAATGCTCATCATCACTGGTCATTAGAGAGATGCAAATCAAAACCACAATGAGATACCATCTCACGCCAGTTAGAATGGCGATCATTAAAAAATCTGGAGACAACAGATGCTGGAGAGGATGTGGAGAAAAAGGAACACTTTTACACTGTTGGTGGGAGTGTAAATTAGTTCAACTATTGTGGAAGACAGTGTGGCGATTCCTCAAGGCCTTAGAAATAGAAATTCCATTTGACCCAGCAATCCCATTACTGGGTATATATATCCAAAGGACTATAAATCATTCTACTATAAGGACACATACACACGAATGTTCATTGCAACACTGTTTACAATAGCAAAGACCTGGAACCAACCCAAATGCCCATTGATGATAGACTGGATTGGGAAAATGTGGCACATATGCACCATGGAATATTATGCAGCAATCAGAAATGATGAGTTTGTGTCATTTGTAGGGACATGGATGAATCTGGAGAACATCATTCTCAGCAAACTGACACAAGAACAGAAAATGAAATACCGCATATTCTAACTCATAGGCGGGTGATGAAAAATGAGAACACATGGACACAGGGAAGGGAGTACTAAACACTGGGGTCTATTGGGGGGAAAAGGGGAGGGTCAGCGGGGGGGGGCTGGGGAAAGATAGCCTGGGGAGAAATGCCAAATGTGGGTGAAGGGGAGAAAGGAAGCAAAACACACTGCCATGTGTGTACCTATGCAACTGTCTTGCATGTTCTGCACATGCACCTCAAAACCTAAAATGCAATACAAAATTTAAAAAAAAACTGTGGCATTTTTCACCTCGAGTCAACTAGGTCTCATAATGGTTACAGTTGACATTAACCAACCTTACCTAGCATTTCTTCGTATTTGTACGCATGCCGTTTTCAAAGCTATCTTATTTATATGCTCCAAGTCTATTACTCATAACCTTAATGATGAGCAAAATATTCAAAAAGTAGGTGGGCTATTTAAAGCTCTGAGCTTTCCCTCTTCCTCACATATTATTGTGCCTGGCACCCAGAGGTATACCATTCCTCAAGGGCTTCTACTCCAAAGACCTTATTATTGAAGACACAAACACATCATATACTGATGCCTGAACCCTCTTAATCACACTCATTGCCACCTCCCTAACAGCTGTCGATAGTACCCGAATTATCTTCTTTGCACTGCCAGGAACACTTCACTTCACAACCTTAGTTGTTATCAACAAAAATAATCCCCTCATAATTAATTCAATTAAACATTAAACAATTGGTAGCATTTTTGCCAAATTTGTAATCTCTAACAATATCTCCCCAATATCAGTTTCCCAAATAATAATACCTTTCCATCTAAAGCTCACAGCCCTGGGCATGACTTTTCTAGGCTTCTCACTAGCAATATAACTCAGCCTTATCACTAATAAGGTCAAACTTAAATACCCATCACAAACATTTAAATTTTGCAACATATTAGGATTTTACTGAAGCACAATGCACCATACAACACCATATTCGAACTTCCCTGCAAGCCAAAATGTAGGCTCCCTTCTACTAAATCTAATCTGAATAGAAAAGACAACACAAAAAACACTGCCCAACTTCTGATCGTAGCCTCAACCAGTATGTCTACCTGGAAAGACCTAATTACGCTCTTCTTTTTCTCTTTTCTTATTCCATTTCTTCTAACCTTATTATTAATCATTTATCCCTACTTCCCTGGGTAATCTCAATTGCAGCAAAAATACTAACAAAGATTAACCAGAAACCACTGCAAGTCGACTCCCAGATATATAATGCAGCCGCACCTATAGAATCCTCATGAAATAATTCCACTTCCTTGCCCTCAAAAATTACCCAATTTTCCATATCTTTAAAATTTATTACAATTTCCACCTCATCATAATTATTCACACTACCATTAACAACTCTAATATCAATCCTAATAATAAAGCACCCCAAATGACAATGCTTGGCCCCCAAGCAATTTAAGATGTTAAATACAGAGAGGACCCCAGGATTAGGAGTTAAGCTCATAGGATTAAGCCCCTGGGGGCTTCTCTATATTTAATACCTCTGTAGCTTCATCTCTGTAGCTACCAAGATTCTTCTTGGGAAGATGAATGTGTTTGCTTGTTTCGATTATCTCTTCAGACTTCCATCTTTCACCTGTCAGTCCTTCAAGCTGACTCTTTCCTGGCCCTAATAATAATCTGATGTGATTATTATGCGTTGTATAACTGTATCAAAATATCTCATGTACCTCATAAATACATACACATACTGAATACCTACAAAAATTAAAAATGTTTTTAAAAATCTTTCTTTGTTTGAAGTTTCATCATGGTATATACAATGTGTGTTTTGTTTTGATTTTGTTATCAGCTTAGACTAGGTTAACTTGTTGAAAAGGACTTTGCAAAATATTATTAGCTTGCAAGAACAAAGGTTTATTTGTTACACATTTTAATGTTTATTGCTAGTTAACTTTTGCTTCATTTCAAGTCTTTTTTATTACAGTACATTAGCTAAGTAGCAGCCTTTGTCTCTGATTACCAAGGCCCAGGGCAAATGGGAAAATAGAGAAAGCAGGCTCTCATGAAGACTTTTAAAGCTCTTGCTCAAAAATGACACATGCACCACAAACTCATGTTTTATTAAAAAAAGGAATTCATATGTCCAATCTGAATTCAATAGAAAGTATAATTCTTCCACAAGTATATGTCTGCTACAGAGAAAAAGCAAATCTTTTGACAATACCAACAAAATCTAACAGAATCCATCTTCATGTTCAAAATATTTCACTTTTTAAATTTAAGCACAAAAAATACATTTGTTCTATTTCTAGGCAGATAACTCATTGCCCCATTCACTTACAACATCAGGTCCAAGTTGAGGAACTTTTGATGGTCCCCATATTAGAACTGAAAAGGGTTCCATTAAACCCAGAGATCCATCTATGAAATTGTCAAATTATCCACTTCTCACCTCCTGTGAATTCTGAATCCATGCATTTAGCATAAAACTAGTAGAATATGGATAACGTAATCATACTTAATGCTCCCATTTAGAAAGGCACATAGCAGTTACTCTTCCTTAATATCCTCAAATCCTACTAGATAGAAACTGCAAAGGGTGTTTGGAATTCACTGATGTTTGGGAATGTTTTTTGATTAGAGCCCAGTCTGTGATTCTGAACAGCTTTCCAGCTCATTGTTTTCCATATTCCTTAGCTCCACCACCCAGTTTTTTTTCTTTTTCACCACCTTATACTTTGATGCCAGTATAAAGCTTGGTTAGTAATAGTTGCACAGTGAAGGCCTACTGGGTGAGTAAACAATTCACAAAACAAAGTAAATATAAGTAATGAAGCATTATATAATGTAGAACAGATTTATAAGCTTTAGAAAAATTCAGATGAGCTCAATTAAGACTATTGTTTCAGGAAAACGGAAAGGTAGGGTATGAGATGGTAAGAAAATAACATTTTCAGCAAATGGAGAAAATGAGTAAAGTCATCAATGAACGTAGTATATTTAAGGCAAGTTTAATGAGGATTTTGAAGGAAAATAATTTTTTATATAAAAGAATTATAAACTACTGTTTTATTTTTTAATTTGAATTTATTTAAATGTTTTTATATAATGCATATAATTTTTGAAGTAAAATAACAACTGAAATGAAAGTTCCATGTGTTTCCTTAAAATCTTCTTTCTCTTATCATTTAAACACACAGAAGCACCTTCTCATTAAAAAATGACATTGGAAACAGTGAACCTACAAGTGTTCTTGCTCTACCCTTCTCACTGTGATTTATGATCATGTACTTGAAGTGTCTTTCCAAAGCATTACAATGATAAAGGATTCCAGGATTACAAAATAATGGCACTGGAGAGTTTAAAGGAATCATTGCAGACTTTTAGGATAGAACGAATGGAGTGCTGTTTTATGATTTTATTGATTTTTCTCTACATTTCGGCTCAATTCTTCCTTAGCATTTCTGCTACACACGTAAATTAAGTAACCGCCTGTCAACTGAAGTCATTCCCAACTGAGAGAAAAAAAGAAAAAACAAATGGAGAAGTTGCCATATGTGAATTTGCACATAAGCTGTTAACCTTTAAATGTTGATACCTCCCATGTGAACAGTAATTAAGCAGACATGATAGATCAACTTCAGTAAGTATTTAACTGGATTATTTGCATGCTCCCATGTCTATTACTATATTTCTCCCATCTCATTCAACATTTGGTAAACACACATTAGGTACCTGCTATAAGTAATTCAATATGTTGGTTGCTAAGTTTTTTTAACTGAGCAATGTGAGAATGGAATAAAATTCATACATACAGTGTCCTGCCTTTGTCACTCAGTAGACATGAAACTTTGTGCAAGTTGTTTAATCACTTCTGGGCCACAGTTTCCTCATTTATAATACAGGAATGTCAACAAATCCCATCTCACAGGATTACTCAGAAAAATTCATGTTTGTATAGAAAGCACTCAAATGTTAGCTTTTATTAATATTGTTAAAAATTGTGAAAATTGCTAGAAAACTACAATATAGTATGACTAATTGATTTAATTCAAATAGATACCAAACTCTTATAGAACTGTAAAGAAGGGCTTAACACTATTTTAGAGTAAGATTTACTGGGAAAAGTAATTTTTGAGCTGACCACTGAAGAAAGAATAGAAATTAACCTGAGTGGTGGAGCAGAAGAAGGGCAGTACAGGAAAAGAACAGCATATGTTACAAGATAGATGTGCAAGAGCATATCACGTTTTTATAATTGCAAGCCATTTTTGCATAGCTGGAACAACATTTTCTGGGGGAAAGCTTCTGAAAATGGTCCTAAAAAATATTTCTCAGAGCCAGACAATGAAGAACTCCAGGTTATGTTTCTTGACCACAGTTTTCATTGTTTTACCTATAAATATACAATACAATTTAGCTCTTCTAAAAAACAATGCATATGGTATTGTGGGAGATGGATATCAAAGAATAGAAGGATTAATATAATCATGCAGAGAGCCATACAATAAAGAACAATTCCAGGTTATGTTTCTTGACCACAGTTTTCATTGCTTTAACTATAAATATACAATATAATTTAGCTCTTCTAAAAAAGAATGTATATGGTATTATGGAAAATGGATATAAAAAATTAAAGAATTAATGTAATCATGCAGTATTAGATGTGATCCTATGGTACTAGAAAACAATTCACTGGAGGGAAAGAAAATACAGGGTAGATATTTAATAAATAGGATCAACAGCAGGGTTACTTATGGTAAACACTGATTTTTCAGAAAATAGCAAAACAACAGTTTATTTTTATGACCCCCACAGTAACCCAAAAGCAAGAAGGGAACTAGAAGAGACTGGCATCATGTCAAGTATGGAAAAAAATAAGTGTCAAGAAGAAGGAAGACAGTGACTATTCAATATTGTGGGTGTCAATGAAAAAGGATAGCATCAATTTAAATCTGGTCCACAGAATTTTGAGGGTATGCTGTATTAATAACCTTTGGTAGAGCATTCCAGTGCTCCAACATACATATGATCTATGATCATATGTAATTCATGATCTAATGCTCTGATATTTAGATAGTAACCAAACTCATATTTTATAACATTTAAGCACAAATAATATGTGAAGACCTGACAATGTGACTATAAATAGTATTAAAATAAATCAGCCAAAACAAAGCAGCTATTCAGAGCAAGAAAGTGACAGTATCTTCTGGAGGCAAATTTGAACAAATAAATATTTAAGTGACAGAGAACTCTGTGTATGTGTGTGTGTGTGTGTGTGTGTGTGTGTGTGTGTGTAAAATCCAGGAAGACTAGGCTATCATCAATAGAATGAGATTCTCAAGACCATAAATAGAAATTGGGTTCAAGATGATGCATAAGAGACTGACACTTCTATTTGAGGAAAGTAAAAGTGGACCAAGATTAGAAAGACGTGTGTGTGTGTGTGTGTGTGTGTGTGTGTGTGTGTGTAGCATCGAAGGTGACTAGATCTCTATGTTTTCCTTAAAAATAAAGATAAAAGTAAATACCAAAAAGTTGTGGAGGCAGAGAAATCACAAAAGAAGGAGTTCAGAAATTAATGATGATGGCAGTGTTTGAAAATAGCTTATCTGAGTGAATCTAAGAAAACATTGATCAGAAACAAATAAACATATATCCAGTTGGTTTCTAAAATTTCAGGGATACCTCAAAAGGCGTAAAATGAGATTGGTTTCAATTAGCTTGTTAGTTAACTGTTAATTTTTTTTCAGGAATTTTTTTTGGGGGTGGAATAGTGTGCAGAGGAAAAAGGGGAATGTAAATTTCACCAATTCAGCAATTGGAATTTATAGGGATCATATGTCAGACAGAAGAAAACGAATGATTAGAATCTTTTCAAGAACATCATGATGTCATGAATCTTTGGTCTTGGAAAAGAATTGATGGTAAGAAATAGCTGATATCATGAGATAAAAATAATTTGGTTACAAGACTAAGGATCTTAATGAGGATAAAAATCAACTTGTTCTCAAAATGAAATGAAAGAAGTTTTGTAGGTGGAACATTTGAGTATACATTTTCAGAAATGAATCAGTCTGAAAAAATGGCCCAGTCTTTGAAACATTCATGTGAATAAGATAATCTATGGCAATAGAGGATGAAATTTACTGTAACAAAATGATATATTAACTTTATTTATATTATTATTCTTATTATTTTTTATTTTTAATTTCATGAGTAGATGTGCAGGTTTGTTACATAGGTAAACTTGTATTGTGGGTGTTTAACAGGTGATTTAATCACCCACCCTTGTAGTCTGGTACCCATTAGCTACTTTTCTTGAACCTCTTCTTCCTTTGACTCTCCAACCTCTGATAAATAAGCAACAAAGAAAACGAGGTGGTACTTTCATCAAGAAAGCAAAATTTCCCAGAAATCTGTAGCAGATATTTACTATCAACAACTCTGTCTCCTGACTAGACTGAACTGCAAAGGAGGCTGGAAAATGCAGTTTATCCACTGGGCATAAAGTTAACCTAGACAAAATGAAAACTTTGCTTATGAGGAAACAGAAGAGACTAGATATTGAGTAGGCTACCACAGGGTCAGCCACAATGATAGAGCATGTGGTCTCATACTAAATAAAAGAAAGAACGATACATAAATTATTCTCTGTATTTATTGAAGTACAAATTCATTTAAAAGTTTTGTGACTGTCAAGTGGTTAATAAGCAATATTGAATGGTAATTAGGTACATTCATATTAATGCACTACTTACAATTATAATCTTCTGAACAATGTGTTGTCTTTGTAAAATGAAATTTAGATATGTGTGCTTATTGTATTTGAAGCTTCTAATTTTAAGGTTCCGAATTTCTGTAAATACCTTTAATTTATATTGTTTGTCTTTAAATACCCATTTTTAGTGTGTTCTATTATCACTGTAAGTGTTAATATGTACAAAGAAATGTTCCTGCATTTCTAAATATATTTCAGTGATAGGCATGGTATTGACAATCAGAGGAATTACTGTGTATTAACCTAAGCAAACGTTTGCAGTGAACAATTGTCAGGTTTAGTAAATAGAGACAGATGGTGGCTGTATAAAATTTCTTTCTAACCTGTCATAGTGGGACACGTTACAATGAAAGTAGACCTTAGACCCCAGAATGGATTCTGATAAATATCCAAATGTTTATTACCAAGTATATATTAAAAGATCACATACATAATTCATAGTGTTGGTGTTTATTTAAGGCACTTTTACAAGAACTTTGAAATTCTCTGTTTAAGGCAGATAAAATTATAAATTGATAGAAGGACCAGCCATGTTTCTACTTGGCTCAGGTATCACACTATTTGATGAAGAAAAAGAAGAAAGAGAAAAAAAAAGCGTATGCATAATGTACGAATATACTATGCAGTCTTTTTGGACAACCATATATCCTGAACATCACTTATTCCCCCCAAATGAAACATTTTAATATTTCTAATGTTAAGTATGAGCCTTCTGTTGCATATTTACTTAACGATGTATAAAGAGTTTGTATAAGATTTCTGAAGTATGAATCCCCAATCAAGGCCCTTCAAATGCTAATTGTCTACCTCCAAATTGTGTATTCTTAATTAGGGTCCCAAAATGTAACATAATCCCTCAGGCACAGGTTAAAATTAATTCATACACACATGTACACTGCTCTATGTACTGAGATTTTTTAAATGTCAGACACAATCTGTAAATACATTTGTCAAAATGGTGAAGTTTGCGTTTATACTGCACAGCAGCTAGGGATTGGATGGAGGACAAAGGCAATGGTTAGAGGGCTTTTGCATTACCAACAGGGCCAGCTGAGCTTAAGACTACCTGAAGATGAAAACAAAATGTTTGCAGTAATTAGCAGCAAACACATTGTCCAAATGGCCAACTGATAATCTTGAGATACCACTGTGGCTCTGAGAACCCTCTTACGTTCATACCTAGGACTTTTAGGGTATTTCATTTGCTACTTGAAGTCTAAAGTGCCATAAATTGGCTATCAGATGCTTCCCTCCTCATCTTTCAAGGCCCATTGGACTTATCAGGGATATTTTGTAACTTTTGATTTTACCCTATGGCCATTTGCATGTTTCACGTGATTCCTAGGATTTCAGTGTGCCACTGTATTTTGCAAAAAAATAATGATAATAATTATTGTAGAGTATAATGAAGCATGTATTCATATAAAAATTTACAACTGTGTCACATTTTGTATTTTGGAGTCAATGTAACATTTTCTAGTTATACTTGAATGCCAAGACATTACCAATTGGAGCTCACTATATTAATAAATATAAACTAGAAATACCAGAATTTAAATGTAACATGAACGTTCAAAAAGAAAACAATATAAACATTTTACACTAACATTTCAGTTGTTTTGCCATGTGCATCCCCAATAAAAATATAATTGGTTGCTTAGACAGTTACTTATGACATGCTAAAAACTATTTTTACTCAGTTAAAAGCTTACTATGTGTTGCATTGTAATTTTCACTGACAACGAGAAATCAACATATTTTATAATAATTATTTATATCATTAAAATTTTAAATGACAACAATTTGCATGCTTAAGTCTGATTGTTACAGCTATAATCCACAAAGAGTTGACATTAGGGTTGAGATATTAAAATGCAAGCTATACAAAATACATACAGTGTATCAACTTTCAGAATATATTGTAAACTCTCGGGATTAAAATAATATAACTTTATATTTTACGTCATATATTCCGATGTTTGCTTGCTAAATGGTTGCACTAAAATTACAGAGATATGCACAATTTTTAAACTGTTATTCAAATGTCACATCTGCCTCACTAATAGGAGATCAGGTCTCTTTAGGATAGGCTTGTTAGCCATTTCAGGCTTATGACTCTATTCTCCTGTTTAGCCTCGATTTTGGAGTCAATATAGTACTTTCTAGTTATACTTGAATGTTAAAATATTCCGTTGAACTCCCACTGAAGCTCTCTCAATTGCTGTTTACTTGAATGAAGGTGGTAGCAAAAATGTTCAGGAGTTTTATTTTGTAATTATTTATTTTTGGACATTTGGCTCTCTATTCTCCCAGTGTATACACTTCACTAGGACAGTTTAAAGGCATTTTCTAGTTATGACAAGTTGAAACTAGTTGTTCCAGCTGGAACCAGTTGCCCCTTCCCTGCACAGACTTATATTGCTGTATCTATCCAGTGAAATAGCTCCACACTTTCTTGATTCTGGGGGATTTTTTTTCTGTTAAAGAAAAATATTATTCATGACACTTCTTCAAAAGGTAAGGCACTCTTTATTTGGAACTACTGTGAGGGGTTTTAAAATAGGGGGAATAGATTCAGCTCAACTCTAAATACAATAAGATAAAATTGAATTTTGTAGCTAAAGGGTGGGTCATGGGGAGGGACTGGATGAAAAAGTACTAAAAGGAAATATCAGGGGTCTGGGCAGATTGATTCAACCCCTCTAGTAGTATTGTTGTTGAAGGTAAGTCAAGTTGAAAGGATGAGGATATTGATCAGATTTCCAGGGAGGGGGCTTCTGGCTAACCTGACTGAGCAGGATATTTTCAACAGCTGGGCTCTAGAGGACTGTGTCCTAAGATGGGACCTAGTTGTGCTCTGAAGAGCCTGACTGAAGTTTGGTCAAGGAGAGAATCTTTATCATTTTCCAGGACACAGAATTTACACTTGTCATTTGGCTTCAAAAGCACACCTAATTTTTTTTATATATATCTGCATACTATTGTACTTTAAGTAAATTCCAGTCTCCTTATCCCTCAATTTTTACACCTCTTGATCAAAATAGATACTGAGATAAGTGCGAAGGAGCGATTCTACCCATTATTTCACTTTTAATTTTTTTTAATTTGCCAGACATAGATCCAAATATCTTTTCAAGTCAGTGTGTCTCACACTTTAATATATATTTGATAAACTGGTAAGTTGTTAGAAAGACAGTTAGATACGCAGGCACCACCCTAGACTAACTGAATCTAAATCTACATTTTAACCAGATAAACAGGTGATTTGTATGCACATTAAATTTTGAAAATCATTTTTGGGGTATTTTTGTCTACAGAAACAAATACAGAAAATTTGAGCATGTTCCATAGTTTTTCACAAAAAGACATATAGTATTAGATATGTACAGTATTCATTTTCTAGATGACCTTTTCTTGCTGATTACTAAATTATCATTAATTTCTTTAAGCTCTGAGAGAATTATGTTGTTGTACAAAATCTAAGAAACAGTATTTACTGGTATAATAAAATAGAAGTTCCGATACATTTTATTTTCAAATTAAATATATAGAATTTTATGGTGCTGCATCACCATTTGATACAATTATAATTCTCTTGCAGACATGGTTATAAGCATGCTTTAAGACAGTCACACTTACTGATTAACAGAAAGAAGCAAGAAAGTGTTGGGATTTCCCTTTATCCAAAAACCTACAGAAAACAGAATATGCTCATTTAGCTGTCTAGAAAAAGCCATAACTTGTTATTTTGAAAATGAATGTTATGCATTCATCCAGTTCTTTAACATTTATTAACATTATTAACATGATACAATTACCAGGACTAGTGTTTGATGTCAAGAAACTAAATAAGATACAGTCCCCTCAAGTATTTTAGTTATTTGTGAAGCCAGACAACTAACCAGAAGACTTCAGAGAGCTAGACGTTACTGAAGAAATATGCTAGTTAAACAATACCTAGGGCAAGGAATTCATATCCAAGTGAGGGAAAGCACGTCCAAAATTATACTGCATGCAAAGACCATATTTATGAGCAAGATGTAGTCAGAGATGAAGCTTGTGGGAAGCAGGTGGGAGGAGAGCAGATTGTATTTTGTCTTATTACCGTGCTGTTATTGCCCTAATTAAAGAACAAAACTTATTGCTTACTATTTTTTTCTTTTTTATTGTACTTTAGATTCTGGGGTACATATGCAGATCATCCAGGATTGTTGCATAGGTACATACATGGCAAGGTGGCTTGCTGCCTCCATCCCCCCATCACCTATATCTGGCATTTCTCCCCATGTCATCTCTCCCCAACATCCCCACATCTGCTGTCCCTCCCCTAACGCCCCCTCCAACAGACCCCGGTGTGGGATGCTCCCCTCCCTGTGTTGATGCATTCTCATTGTTCAACACCCTGTGTTACGGGATTTTTAAGTAGGAAGTTCCGTTTCTCTTCTCTTTGCCATTATAGGGCCTCTGTTATTCAGTAAAGAATAAATAATTACTTCAGTGGGGGCTGAAAGTATCTCTCTGCTGGTTTGTAACCCCCAGTGATAAGCTTTTTAATTCCTTTGTTAAGGCTAACACTAGAAAGTTGGGTGAATTCAAATCCTGGTTTTGCCCTGGTCTCTGGAGTCAGGTGTCTTGAGAAGGAGTTGGCTCATCTGCTCTTCTGTCACTCCCACCTCCTATTCCTCTCCTCTCTATTGTTGGATAAATATAGGTATCTAAGCTGTTCCTGTTTCATTTCTTATTTCTGTGCCAATGTGTTTATATACATTATTGGAATAAGCCAAGTCGTATGATGACCTGGGTAGTGGAAATAGCAGAAAAACAAATAGGTAAAAAGCATATGGGTTCAAATTTCAACTTGGAGACTTATCAGCTGTATGACACTATGAGAAATATCTAGAGCTTCTTAGCCATATTGTCTTCATTTGAAAATGGTGAATAGTGAGACCTGCCTTCTATTTACTAATTTTTCAACTATATAATTTAACAGAGTTCTTTCAAGTTCTTGAAAGAACTCTGTTAAATTATATAGTTGAAAAATTAGTAAAGGCAAATGTTGAAGACAGTTGAAATGTAGCCCTATTCCCTGTCTAGTACTAAAAATTTAGAAATCGATTTGATTAAAGAAAGTTACCTAAAGAGAAAAGAAATTGTTATTAAGTATTTTGCCTTAGTCCTACGAATTTGGCATTAGGATCTGAAAATTTTGTCCATGTGATTGTAGAGTGACATACGAGGTGCAGAATCTCAGACAACTTGCTTCATCCATTGAAGTCACAGTTTTATTATTCATAAAAAGTAGACAATGGCACTTTCTTGACAGAGTTTTTCAGAGGACTAAATAACAATTATGTAAACCACATAACTAGTGTCTGTTACTGTTGAATACCTACTAATACTAGCTAAGAAATAAGAAAGTTGACAGCAAAACATTTTATGTTTTTGTTCATCAAAAGAGAATTACTTGTGAAATGAGAAAACAAGTTTAACATACTGCAGTAGTCAAAGAGATAGAAATGTTGGTGAGAGACCACTAAGACAATATATAAGGTTTTTGAGAGCCGAGTTGTTTATGTTCTTGTTATCTTTAATTCCTGGTCGTCAAGCAAAGTAAAAATACCCTACATATTAAGGTATGTACTGTTTAAGTAAATTTGTTTTAAATGAATGAATGAAAAAAAAAAAAAAACCTGAGTGGACCTCACATTTAATCCTTCGACAGAGCACACACTTTTGTTGTGGTAAAGATTCCCTGGAACTGCATCAAAACCAGTCACCTTCTACACTGCACCATGTTCAAGGTAAGAAGTACTGAAGCACAAGTTAAAAAGAGAGAGAGCACTTTGGGAGCCCGAGGCGGGCGGATCATGAAGTCAAGAGATCGAGGCCATCCTAGCCATGGTAAAACCTCATCTCTACTAAAAATACAAAAATTAGCCGGGCGTGGTGGCACGTGCCTGTGGTCCCAGCTACTCGGGAGGCTGAGGCGGGAGAATCGCTTGAACCCGGGCAGAGGTTGCAGTGAGCCGAGATTGCGCCACTGCACTCCAGCCTGATGACAGAGTAAGACTCCGTCTCAAAAAAAGAGAGAGAAAGAGAGAGAGAAAAGGAAAGTGAATAAAAAAGGACAACATTGAACACCTTTTCTTTTGATATATGCTTCTCTGACTGCTCACATGTGGTTAAAGATGTATGCAGGGACCTGAATTATATTAATTAATGTGCCAAGCACTATCAGGGAGTCAGATTTATAATGATTTCTCATTTTTTCTTTATTTCTGAGGCAAAGTGTTTGACACAGAGTAGAAGCAAAGGTGATTTGTAGTACTAACCTTCAACATGTATAAATAACTGGCAAAGGAAGATTTATTGCTAAAATAAATCCTAATATGATTAAATGAAATATTTGCTTTAATTGCATAAGTTTCAGTCTCACTGAGCACACAAAGTGCAACCTAAAATTTGTGAGTAATGAATAAGCCCTTGGGGTGATTTACAAAGTCTTTGCAAGATCATATTTTTCCAACAAAAGGATAATATCAAATGTATGTTTAATAATATCTAAATGTATTTTCAAAATGTTTATTTA